TCTATCTAAAACATGATGTTTATCCAGTTATAATAAATGTTTTCTTCTCTATCAGCAATGGATATCTTAGCAGCCTTTGTATGATGTATGGTCCCAAGTTGGTCAACCCAAAGTATGCTGAAGTTGCTGGAACAATAATGGCACTGTTTTTATCGTGTGGGTTGGCTCTGGGAGCTGGTCTTTCATTTGCAATTACAGCAATAATATTGCATTGAAACTGACATTTTAATGCATAAACAGATATTATCAAATTACATAAAATAAATGAATATACACATATGACTGAAACACATAGAGTTTTCCAAAATGTGATTGATTTTGCTATTTTCATCCAATTGTATTAAATTTGCACATATAACCATTGGGGTTTGGGATAGATTGCAAAAGACCTTAAAGGCAACATTGTTCTATCCACAAATTGGAATGACAGTAGAAATTTTGAAGTAAACAATTATTTTTTGATAGATGTTTATTAACAGTTGTGCTCAAAAGTGAGGGATTATTTGGATTTGGGAGAAACACTCTAAATTAACATTCAGTATATATATATTACTTCTGTTGATGTATTAAAGGTGATCAATGGATGATTAAGTGGTGCCATCTTTCAAAAGGCAAATAGCCAATCAGTGAGCATAATAACACTCCCATACTTATTGATTGGTTAATATTGGTTAACAGATGACTTAAGTTATTTTAATATCGGTCATGCCTTCAAGTTCTATCTCAGTACAGTGGGATTTAAATTCCTTGTGTCTCCAAACAACTTGAAACTGAGACACCAGAAATTGGTACAAGTATAGGTCCAGTAGTTCTCTTGTTAGATTGTATTAGTTCCCTATTTTATGTGTAGCCATTTTTTAACTAATTTAACACCATTATGTTGTTGGGATTATATTGAAAGTGTTAATTCTGTGATGTTTAAAAATGCTAGTAGAGATTGAAATTCAATATTAACTATTTTAACTATTCTACCATGCAATTCTTCTGTTTTTTGCTATATGTGTTTTCAAGATATTTAGAAAAAATAATAAGGTACACTTTTTGATTCATAAATTGTTTATTTTCAATGAATTAATCAACTCCCCTTGTGTTTTCATCTATCCTCAAATTTGTTTTTGTGTGTCTTTCAAGAAATATTTATGGTCAGAAAGCAAACACCTAAGCTTACTAAAGAAACTCTGTTGTGTGGCTCGCTTCATAAAGCTTAGAGCTAGGACAAAAGAACAATGATTTGGTGGTAAGAAAGGAGTGTGCTCTTGCAAACTGAATAAAAGGCTTAGGTGATTGTTCAATTTACATTATACCTATTATGAAGGTCTTTACTAGTTTGGACATCATCACTGAGCCACTCTTTTGCTCCCAACTCAATTAGGGCCAAATAAAAACTATGCTAGCATACTGAAGCTCACATATCTACTCCCTGAGGAAGAAATGAATTAATAAAGCTAACAAATGAATTCTTTGAATCTGAGTAAGATAGTCCCCTCAGAAGACATTGTGACATCCCTCATCAAATCAGGTCTTCTGTTATCACAGGAAGCAAGGATTGGCCATTGGTTAATTGGCACAAGTCGCTCCACCTAGCCTATATAAAACCCTAAACCTCTAAATACATCTTAATTAACTCAAATAGCTAAGCAATATAAATTCTGGACAAGAAAAGTTCACTTTTCCCAAAAATTTCACCTTTGCCCCCCCCTATTGTACTACCTTGGCTACGATACTGATAAAGTGCATTACTTCTCCTTCAAATAGTTGCTTTTTTGGACTCACACTTCCAAATTCATTCAAAACCATTAATCAAGACTTCAACTGAGCTAAAATATTGATATCATGTTTTAAATTGCCTTAAAATCCCATTCTTTGCTTTTTGGGCTTGACATAAGGAAATATTTTGAAGTGATCTTTGGCTTGACTCCCTTTGAATTTTTTGCTACCAGGAATGCTCCTGGGTCAAGATTTATAAAATTAGTCAAGTAGAGAAATCAAGCAAGTAGAAAAATAAAATTGTATGTAAGGTCATGAAAAAATAGAACGAAAAAATCAGTATTTTTGTAATATTTGTTCTTAATAAGCTTCTTCAATTCCAGCGTTTGTTTTCTATTTGATATTAAATCGAAACTTAAAAGTTTAAAAATAAAGACAAAAAATTGTAAAATTACGACAAAAATGATGTTTCTGAAGCTTTTGTTCGCTAATCATATATAATCGGGCAGTAAGGAGTTAAAGATTTCTTAAATGGAAAATTTGGTAGCTGGTGAGCAATGAAATAAAGTATCTGGAAGACAAATTTCAAACAACACCCTACAGTTTTCCATATGATCAGCAGAAATCTATGTCTCTGTTATCGTTTGTGTAAAAATTTTGACCATACCTCAGAGGCTGGTCACAATGGGCAAACGTTTTTCCAAACAGAACTACTGTCACATCAACAAAGACAAGATAAATCTATACATATAATAGATCAACAATTCAGAAACTCTGCGAGAGACATACATATACAGCACTTGGTCTCATGTTAAAATCGAGGGCACAGGGGCCGTTGCCCCACTTTTCAGAAGAAGAGATTAAAATGTTCTTTTTGCCTACTTGTGCCCCCTTGAACAAGTGATTAGTTCTCCTTCAGTCAGTTTTGTAGAAAAAGAGGCAAGAATTATTGACTTCAAGTACAATGAAATACATAAAAATGATATGCATTCTAATAGAAATGAAAGTGGCTTAAGCCACAAGCATTCGCAGGCTAAAAAGACAGCAATTAGAATCGGGCATGAGATTTCTTCGTCTATTACGTTGTTACTCTAGAGTTTCGAATTTTTGGTTTGCCCTCCGCATTCTACCCATTTCAGTGGCAGAAATTCGTTAAGAGCGAGGGAAGCGAAACCCACAAAAACAAGCAAATTTGCCGATAAACGACAAAATCTACCAACAACAGTGCTGAAAACTATTTTTAGCCGACAATTTGGCAAAAGCTGGGGGCCGTCGCCCCCCATACACCCGCAACTGACCTATTCCCCAGCTATCGACAGCTACCCATTTACCCTGACCTTTCTATTTTGCTCCTGCACCCATGATAATTCATAAGTTAATTGTTTACTTGATTATTTTCTTCCTGCAAACACTATACGCTATTCGAACAACTCGATACTAAATGCCAGATAGTGATGTTGCTGGTTGCTATGACTGTGTTATGTGACCTATGTCGTCGTTGTTGTTGTTCAATGTCCTACCCTAACAAGAACTTCACGAAACTTCGTAGACAGGGGGCAGTGAAATTGCGTGCTCGTTAGAAGGTTTTAGAATGGCAAAGAAAAAAGAAGGTATTAAATTCCATTTTATCTGATCATGCGTTTTGCACTAGACAGCTAGATCAGGTGACGTTCGAAACGTTTGTTTGGTCGCGTGATCTAAATATATGATGCAGAGCTTCCCGTTTCATATTTCAAGAAGTTGATGATTGAACAACAACAGGCTTAAAATCTGCTCTGAAATGGGGGATTCATTAGAACTCGATCTGGAAAATTGGATGGCACAACTGCCAACAAACCTTCAATGTGTTCCTGTCAATAAGCTGGCAATACCGGGATCACACGATTCGGGGGCATTTTATCTTGACAAGACCTCGAAAATAGCTCCTGATGAGTCAAAGGCCATTACAACTCTTGTAAGAATTTTTGGTCAATGCGCAAAGAATATCGTCTACAAATGGTCAATAACACAAACATTGAGTCTGCACCAGCAGTTAGCGAATGGTGTGAGGTATTTTGATTTGCGTGTTGCATATGAAGATGCCTCTAAGGAGTACTGTTTTGTACATGGGTTGTACGGACAAGCATATCAAGCAATTTTCAGCGAAATGAAACAGTTTTTAGATAAACATCCGAAGGAGGTAGTCATACTCGATTTCAATCACCTCTGGGGTTTTACAGAGAAAGATTGCTCGACGTTTTTGGAAATAATCGAGAAAAGTTTTGGTGATGTACTTTATGGTCCAGGTACAAAAAGTACAAACTGCTGTCTTAAGGACTTGTGGGATGCAAAGAAACAGATAATTGCTCTTTATGATAACGAAGAAGCTATAAAAAAGAACCCAAATTTCTGGCCACGGAGCACAATTTATTCTCCTTGGTATGATACAGCCAACATCACTGATTTATTGAATCATTTGAATGGCCGGTTTGACACCCTGAAGGAGGATTGTTACAATGTATTTCAGGCTATTCTTTCCCCCCAAACATCTACTATAGTCCTTCACTTGGCTAATGGTAGTTTGAAAACCACTTTGGCAGAAAATTGTGACAAAATGGTGAGTTCCTGGTTAAAGAAAGTTCATGATGAGAAGAAGAAAGGAATTAATATAGTAATTTGCGATTTTGTTGATCTCCTTGAATTTGCCAGAAAGGTTGTTTCATTAAATTACATGTAATCCAAATTATATAAAACAATTTCAGCTAGACTGAAAATTTTGATGTATGAATTGATCTTATTGTTTTTATTCAATATATATAGAAATTTTTATCAAGAAAATAAATGTTTGAACTAGATAATTTTTTTATAAACTATATTTTTAGGCAAGTATGTATATTAACAATAGTTTTGCATCTTAGATCTTTTGCGAATGCAACATTAAACAACTTTGGAAAAGCACTCAAAAGCTTTTTTGGTGGGCAACCATCTATCAATTTGACTTGCTACATGACCATTTGCTTTAGAATCTGGGTAGCCTGATTTTCAATTTCTTGATACCCAGATAAACCACTGAATCAATGACAGAGAAGAAGATTGGTGTGCCTTATTTTCTCCTTAAAAAAATTCAAATGGAGGCTGTAAGCTAAAGCAAGGCCTTTGTTGATAGGTGCAATGTTTTTTTACCTATGATGTTCTAGGTAAAACAATGCTGTCAGGTGTCATATAAATAGTTAGGATGAATGTGTGATGAATGCTTGAAGTGTGATTGTATGTATCAAGACTGACCTGAGGAATCATAAACGTAAGGTGCACACACTTAAGTAATATATAATTTTAGACATAATTTGAGGAAAAAAGGCAAAAAGTCAGGTTAGGAGAGGCAAAAAGTCTGGGGCCTGTGCTCCAATGGGGCCCGTAATAATGTTACAAGATCTATCTATGATGCAAAAAAGCTAATATTCCAGCTACTTATAAACAGAATAATAACTTGTAAGTTTATTGCAGAGAAATATCCACATTTTCTTGATTCATGTAAAATGTTTTTGCACATTCCTGTGAAAATCCTTGAAAAACTTTTTCAACAATTGTAACTAAAAAGGGCATTTCCCGAATTCTCTTAAAACTGAAGGCCGTGGCCACAGGAAATTTTCTTAAGGGGGTCCAGTTATGTGAATCAACCCTGGGCCAAGCTGGCTCTTGATGGCCCTGCATATTATATATTGGTTTAGTTTTTGGAATTTAGTTAGTTTATGATGGAAGAAAACATTGCACTGCAACCCCCTCTACCAAATATTTTCAAATCAATTTACTCATATATAGTTAACTAAACATGAAGTAGCATGTGCCTTACTCTGCCATCATCATTTTTTTTATTTTTCATTATTAGAGAGAACTATGAAATATGAAAATTGTATCAATAATGAATATTTATGTAAATATTGAACTTGAATGTTTTTATTTTGAACATTAATTTATTTTCACTTGGTAACATTATGTTTTGAATCACATGAAGTAATTCAAAGTATATGTTTACCTACTGGTATTGTAATTTCATGTAGTGATCAAACTTTATGCCTTTCAACATGGACCTAGTCACTTTTTTGAGACATTTCTCATCCCACAGTCGTAGATGTCAGGGCTGTTGGAAGCGATGTGACTGGAGGCCCCGCAGTGGCGTACCCAGGGCTGCAGCAGTGAAGGGTCTGTGAAGGAAATTTTTTGGACCACGCCCTTCAGACACTCGCAAATGCGGGGAAACGCCCTTTTTTCAAGATTTTCCCCCATTAGCTACGGTTGTACTTGCTACGCTTAATGTTAGCTACGGTAAATAGCAAAGTATTTTACAATTGTTATTGACACAAGCATACAGTATACTACACCCCCCAACGAGTTTTACATTATTTTTGGACAAATCTCGAGGATCATATTTTAGAAAAGTAGGGGGTCCGGACCCCCTATTCCCCCCTTTGGGTACGCCACTGGGGCCCCCAATAATTGTCAAGATGTACTCTATTTCCTTTACGACGGTGTACTGAATGGGAAGCAATACGATCAGCAGCCCCCCAAATGAATTTCTTTCTCACCTCATGGTGCCAGCACTGTACATAGGCTTACCTAACTTTTGGACAGCATCCCTGACCTTTTGCAAGTTTTCGTTCTTCAGCACTTCAGAAACAGTTGTGGAAATGAAGTTGGTGTACTGTAAACAGTCCCTATCTGCAGAAATGTGTCAAAGCAGAGTGTACAAAGTCAGTCTCCATTAAATCCACGATACGTGAAAGTTATAACCATTAAAAGATCCAGTTTTTTCGAGATATCTGACGAGGGGGGGGGGCAGGGGGCCATGGCTTGAAGTTTTTGCATAAACTCTGTCAAGACCAGGTTAATTTTGAGGTAGGTGCCACCTGAATGTGAAGAAATTGCCATGGTTATTTCCAAGTACCTACATATGTGGGGATTCGGAAAAGTGTTGGTGAACGGTGATCTACTGGGACCAAAGATGTGAAAATAAGGGTGAAACAGTTATCACTCAGAAGTAATGCCTCTGCGGAGGAAAATAGGACATTTCCTTATGAATTCAACAAGTTACATTGCCGTGAATTATCGAATTAGCCCCTGGGGGCTTATTTATTTTTGATATTTTTGGATGGGGGCTTATTCGAAGGGGGGCTGATACAAGGAGGACTTATAAAATTATTGTAAACATTTAGAAGACATTATTAAAAGACCTCGTTTATTTTAGTAAGAATTTCTTTATGAGCATTTAATCAATTTTTACAAAAAGTATGAATTTTTGGGCACCTTGAATTTTGTCTATAGCACCATGGTTCCCCCCCCCCTTTTCCCCCGAACCTGAAAGCAGTAAACGTAATCGTGAAGCAGCTTGACTGAGGTTAAATGTGTGAAAGTGGTTGCTGGTTTCGGTTTCCAAAAGAGCAATCACATGCACCGAGGTCAGCAATGTTCAGCAAAGAAGGGCCTTTGTTCCCAAGCACTTTGATGATATTTTCAGTACCAACATTGATGAGCTTCAGCGATTTTAGAGAAGTGTTTTTAAGAAACTAAAAAGAATGAAAGGAAAGAAGTAGAAGAAAAGAATAATGCGATAAATCCTTTTATTGCTTAATTGCGAGGTCCTACGGGGTCTCATAAAGTGATTAATTCCGTTTTAGGATTGGAATTGATCAAACGTAAAAAAAACCTGCCTTAAAAATAGTAAAAAGAATGACTGCAAAAAGTATTGTGAAATGTATTATACTTGGGTGTACTGATTCAGAACAAGATATCTGTAATACTCCTAGATATCTGACCGAGACAATGAACACTAGCTTTAACAAGGCTGCTAAAATAAGGTGCTTTGAAGACTTGAAATCTAAAGCTACTCCTTTATTTTCTGATCTTCAACTCCTTTAAAAGTTGAGGATTGCTATAAAAACTGCTAAATTTATGTACAATATACACAATGATTCATCAACTCTGAATAAACTTTTTGAAAAAGCCAGCAAAAGGCATAACTACAAAACCTGTCATGCTATAAGCAGTAATTTTTTCCTGCCAACTGTTAGAACTGATCTGCGAAAAAGTTTCTGGACTTCATTGGTGTAAAGGTTTGGAATCAAGTTCCACTAGAACATTGACTATGACTAGAATTCAAATCAACACGCAGCAAAATTACTTTTGGCCAACTTTCCCGTAATTACCTCCTGCAAAGCTATTCTGCTGAAGCGAATAAGCTTTAGCTTTGGAAATTTGTTACAAGCGACTTACAATCAGCCTTCTTCCAAAACAAGTATCCTCTTTGTTAATTGCTCTTTGTTGATTGTTAATTGCCAAGTGTCCTCTTTGCCGCTCACCCCTTCCTCCTGATCCCTTCTCTACTCTTTTCTTTATTAGAATTGAATTCATATATACTGTTTCTGTTTTGTTATAATTAACTTGAAAAATATTAATAAAACTGAATCAAATTCACTTAAACTATATCAAAATGTTTAACTAAATTACTGATTTCCCTTAAGTCCTAGGGTACTGGGCTCGAAATTCATTATGATTCATCTCAGTGTCCTAAGCAACATCTTATATCATTATATTATTCAAAAGTACTTCAATTAAAGTTCATTGTTAAAATTATATGCTTGATACACATATATACAGTATTATATTGTAAGTAACTGTTGTTGCTAGATGAAATTGATTGTGATTGATTATATTCAAAGTTAATCTTAAGGGTGTGGTCACAAAACTTTTCTGCTCGCAGAGAAGCTTCTTCTTCCAGATATACCTAGGGCCTCCAACCACCTCTCGACGGCCCCTCCATGGAAGCTCTCTCGCCTCGTTTATCCAATTTCCTACGTGACCCTGATACCTCTAAACAAATTAGTTTCTTGTTACTAGTGCCGTCGGAACGAAATTTATATTGGGGGCTGCCCATTGTTTTGCTCCCATTCAGGACACTGTTATAAAAGGAAATATGTAATACAGTTGCAGGGCTTCTGACGAAGGGCTGACTGGGGGCCATGCCCCTCCACATTTTTGCAAAACAACAGAGCATTTTTAAACCTTTTGTTATGATCGTAAAAATCTTCTTTGGCCCCCCTCCCACTTTTCAATCTGCGCCGTAGCCCATGCTTTGACAATTATTGGGGGACCAGCCCGCCCCGCTTCCGACGGCCCTGTAGAGCTACCATAAATCCTTGAATTGCCCCCCTGAAAAAGCCCCCCTGGAATAAGCCCCCACCCTAAACTACCAATTATCGATAAGCCCCCACCCCCTCGAATAAGCCCCAACTGCTACCGTAAATTCACAAATTGGACCCCTCAATTTGATGATTTTTGCCATCTGAGGTTGCCTATGGCGTTTTATTGAATTACCACAACAAATTCATACTTTTTGCAGTAATTAATTAAATGCTCATTATTAATTAATTAATTATAAGAAATTTCTACTAAAATAAATGAGGTCTTTTGATTATGTCTTCTTAAAGTCTACAATAATTTTATAAGCCCCCCCCTCGTATAAGCCCCCCCTCGAATTAGCCCCCATCCAAAAATATCAAAAAAAAATAAGCCCCCATGGGGCTAATTCAAGGATTTACGGTACTGCGTGTAGGCTTGATTGTTGCTGTCTACTAATTTCAGATACATGCTGTAAAATGCTTTTTGAACAATCTCACATTTCGCATAATTATTGAAGAACTTTCAATACACTACTCTGCAACTTTTATACTCAGAAAACAATGAAGATAGGCCATCACAGTTGAGTTTTGAGCATTGACAAAAATTCACTGGCTCCTATGTTTACCAACTGCCTGTTATTAAATAATTTCAAAGCCACAGCTTTTCAAGGTTGCGTTCGAAAGAAGACATCTATTGTCTAGGCACGTTCACTTGTCTCTCGGCGTGATAACGGTTACGGGCACGTGTCATAATTAGTGAAAGCTCCTCCGCCCGTCTTGGCTTGTTAGATTTCCTAGCATTCAAAGCCTTTCAAAGCCAAAAATCATTGCAGGCTCTTGAAGAAAAACTCTCATATTGTCTATGCACCTTAAGAGAGTATGATATTTACTTAAAAAGAAAATAAACAGAAATTAAACCATTTCTAGTGTGTTGAATTGAACCAACGTGGAACAACGTTGAGGACGGCTCTCCCAGTAGAGGCTGCGCGCAAACGAGACAGAACTTTTTAAGCGTCATTTGCATACAAAAGTTATTGCAGTGTTCAGCCGGGGAAGGAAGAGAAAAAAGTTTCACCAGTGTTGGGAAAATGTCAGCTTCCATTGCCAGCTAACTGTTTTCTTTTATAAATAGCAACATGAAGGCTCTTTGTGCAACTGGCAAGAAGAAGGAATTACAGTGTTGTGGAAACGGTGACACAACTTCGTGTTGCGATTATCCCTTCATCGCCACCGATCCCGCAAAATGCAGCCCTGTAGAACCGAAATCTGTATTTTCTGGACCAAACTTCAAAGTCGATATCGAATTTAAAGAAGTTGGCTTCGCAGTGAAACTTAAAGGACGTGGTATGAGAGATTTTCCGTTTGATTGTAGCAAAATTTCTTTAGTTAAAAATCGCTTCATGTTTGCAACACGTCCATATTTTTGCCGGTGCTGCACTGTTTTAACTATGTCTTCGAAGATAATATCAATAAAAACGTGTTTCTTTGCCATCGATTGCAGAAATCGTGGCTTTTTCGAAGTCTTTTGTGATAACCTTTAAAAGCTACAACAGTTTTGCTGTTTAGTTAACAATTCCCGCATTTCAGCATTTTCTTGGTTCTGCCAGTTAATATAATAATTACTCCTTTAAATCACCAAGCCTGTATGTTCTATTGTTTTCAAACGAAAACAAAACTTTACTTCAAGTGAAACTCGGCCTAAAATTTCTGCGGAATTTTAGAGGTTTTCGTGTGAGCCGATCGCGGTTACTAGGCTTATTTTCGCGGTTTAACACTTCAGGTTTCTCACACGACACTGGTACAAGACGATGACGGAAAAGCTTTTCGGAGAACGGCAAAATTGAATTATTTCTTTTTAATTTTAGACTCGGTTTTCACCCAATGCGCTATTCTTGTATTGGTCTTTTGATATTTCGCAACATATTTCGACACCCTTTGATTATCGGTACAAAGGTCTTTTTTGACGTCAATTATCTTTTTGCTGTATCCTAGAAAGATGCGTCAAAGCTTTTTCGTAAATTTTTTTGACAGATTTGTTTAACAGCGTTGAAGGTTGGCAGTGTATGAGGTTTACGGTAGCTGACTTCACTTTGTCTTTGGTTTTTCAATTCTTGCTTTTGGCAGCTTAATTCTAAGAAGCAATGCTAGCTTTCTGAGGCAATCTTTGGAAGCTGTGTTTATACACAACTTGTGGTCAACAAATCTTTGGCCTATCTTTACGTCAATTGTCTACCTACAGTGAAATCTCTTCATTGCATTTTGTATTCCACTCATGCTTCTGGTTTTAAAACCAATTCAATTCAAGGTTTGAAACTTCTTCACAGCAAAATTCTCAACTAAAAAGAGTGTCATTGGTTTTTTGTAGTCACCTACTCATAAATCATGTTAGTCCTTTGTGTATTGTTGTATTCTTTTGTTGAATAAATTGCCCAAGCTAAGAATTTTTTCAATTGATCTCAAATTTATCTGTGTGCTTGTGTTATCATCATTTGGTTTTATCTTTGTGAGCATCGGGCATCTCAACTCTTTCTGTGAAGTTTTTAGTTATTGTATTAGATGCTTGTGTTAAATTTTGTTTCAGTTTTGTTGAAATATTTGTTTTTTGGCTAAACTTGTGTTTCATGGTTACCATTACAGGAAGCTGGTTCTTCAGTTCAGAGGACAAAATAGGTTAGAAATTTCCAAGCTGTCCTATCTTTTGTAGCCTTAGCTTGTCTGACTGTCATTTGTTTACATTTTTAATTTCTATCCTTAAGCTTCCATTGGACAAAACTCCAGCAATGGTTTACTTTAGTGGTTTGATATTTGATACTTTGAGATTTTCTCTGTCTATTGTGGAATTTCTGTGGCTTTTTAATGCTGTGGTTTATCATAACAGTTTATGTACACCAGTGTCATTTGAATGGGCACTTTTAAGTGTCTTCTTTCTTGACCAAACACATCTTTAATATATGTCTTTCAATTACATTCAAAAATTCCATAGACCAACCACTATTGCATAGAAGTAAGATTAGTTTTCTGCATTTGTTTCTATTTTCTCTCTTAGTGTTGAGTAATATATCTCTTGAGTCTTGCACATTAATTTCCACATATCAAAATTGACTCTTTAACATATTAAAATTCATTCAAACTTTATGCACAATGATTGCTTAAATATACTTTTGACTCTACAAAATCAAAATCAAATAACAAAATTTGCATGGACTTTTAATATCAATCTGTCACTTTGTTGATTAATCCGTAACTTAAGTGTTTAAACACTTTCTTAGTGATAAAAGCTCTAACTGACATGAAAACATAAACACTGTGGAAGGCACTTGTGTAAAAGTACTGGATTGGAGCTTTTTTCTAAACTTACTTTATAGCCTTTTCAATTCAGATTGTTTTTCTAAGTTGAAGGGCACCCCTTTTCTCATAAGCTTCTACCACTAGTCCCTACTGTAGGTCTCTAGATGATAAATTGCTTTGACATTTTACATTGAATTTTAAAAAATATCATCCAGTTACCAGCAACAAGCTGAAACTAGTCAAGAAAGTTAGTTTTCAAAAATGATTATTATTATTATATATGTATGTCTCAATACCAAAATTTGAGTCTGTCTGGCCTAAATTCTTCTAAAGATATTCATCAAATGAAGATGATAAATCTTCAAGAAGTATAATTAGAAATATCATGATAATCTCAGTAATAGTTTCCCTCCAAAAATGCGATTATCCCTAGTCTTAATCAGGCTGCACCTTATTTGGTTTTCCCAAAAGATCAACTAAGGAAATCTTTGTTATGAATGTCTGCTGATAGAAATTAAGCCTTTCAAACTTAAATATTGATAATAAAATCTTTTACCCAGGGCAATTTATCAGCGTTCCATTCTTTATTACTCATTTTTTTTTACTAAATAAGAAACTTTGACTTGCTCATCTTTTTTTCAAAAAGTAGTGTAGATTTAAAAGTTAGTGGATTAACCAAATGTACTTTAATTTTGATGTCTGTGCTTTATATATGTTAGGATTTTTTTATTTTGATCTCTTTTTTAAGATTTGAAACTTTTTCTACCAACTCTGCTTATTGCAAAGCATTGTTATGAGTAGATGATATAATTACCTGTCAAAGTAGCAAGATCTCATGATTAATTTTTGTTGCTTCTTGGTTTAAAATGGAATCTAATTTTTATGATAAATTATTTAATTCTCAAATCTTCTAATGTTTACTGTCATTTGAATCTTTAATATTAATCAAAATCATATGATATCATTAAATATCAATCCTGTCACTTGATTTTTGTTAAATCCTAATCCTTAATCTTTAAACTCTGTTTTCTATGAAAATTGATGATCATATAATTTACAATGCCATAAGGATAGAGTTGTTAATGCTTTGATGCATATATTGAACAATACTAGGTTTTTTCCAAACTTAGAACCTTGCTGTTCTATCAATCAAAGCTTATATCTATCTTTCTATTAATCAACTTAATATGATTGATTAACAATCTTTTTTATCAGTAGCATGATCATAAATAATTCATAAATAAGGCATTTTGAGTTATAGATACTCAACAACAGGAAACAAGGCAGGATGTTTTGAAAAATCTGAAACATGCATATATAACTTTAACTTTAACCTTTCATAAACACTAAACAGGCTTTATGTGATAGTTCTTGGTATCTGTATAAAGCATGGATTTTTATTATACAGTTAAAAATCAGGTTTTTTGTCATTGATCAAGAATATATCCAAACAACTTGCCTGAAAGGCCAACATTTGCTTTTGCAGTTGTTAACGAGTTTGATATTTGTCATTTGTTTTTCTTGATCATACCTCTTGCCTTTTTGACATTTTGTTAACTCATCTTTTTACCCATTTTTTAGAAAACAAAGTTATCTTAAACAATGTCAGTGGCAAGTTCCAGAGTGGTGAGCTCACAGCAGTTATTGGACCTTCGGGTAATATTTTATTAAATTCCTCTCAACTTCTTGCATCCAAAGCTTGTATTTCAAGCATATTTTTATGCATCATTCTCTCTAATGCATCATATTTTTATGCATCATTTATGCATTTATGCTCTCTAAATAACTTCTGACAAGCATCTTCAAGTAACCTATTTCTTAAAAGCATTGTTTGAAAATGGAATTGAATGCTTGAGTTAAAGTTGATGGTCTTTTCATTGTGTTTCCATGGTAGCAAATTGTAGATTAAAAACATCCCAATCAACAAAAGGTTTGTCCTAATCTCCTTCAGGAATGAATTTGTCATTTTGTTTAAGAAAAGAAGCAGCTGTTTTCAATCAAACTTTTCACCCATTTACATTTCAAAACTGAACAAAGCAATGAGTTTTTATATTCTTATCATATGCAAATCATTTTCATTGTCAATGTTTGAAACTTTGGTTTAAGGATTCTAATGGTTAAGAATCTATTAATACAATTGTTTAGTGTTTTTAAAGGCTTGTTAAGCTTGGGTGGCCTTTTAATAACACTATATACTTATCTACACAGCTCTACTTTGTTAGTGAAAGAATAATTTCAAGCATTATGATTTCAGTTTCCTTTGTAAATCCTTGTCATGATTTCTTGTTGATGGTTATATGAATAGCTGCTCTTTTACAAAAATGGCAAATAGTTTATATGAATAAATATGTCAATTGTTTGTATCACCACTGTTTTCCATAAAACTTGCCCAAAAGTTATTTCACATGTTTGTCTATGCCAGCATTTTGTTTTGCGGATAAAACCTGATTTCCAGTAATGTTTCTCATAATGCATAGCTAGGATGTTTTATATGAGCACATCATAAGTAACATTCTTCTAGACAGAAAAAACAAAATTTTTAACATGGAAAACCTCTTTCTAAAATTGGAACATGAAACACTTCATTCCAAATTATTCCAAATCAGTATAGTTGTTTCACAACCCCAATTCTCTAATCACATGTCTCTTTAATTTGTTGGTTAATTAGTGCTGGTGCTAGAAACGAAGAGGGCATTAAATGTTCCAAAAAACTCCAAAGCTATTTCTATTGCCTTGTATTGAATAGGAAGCGACAGTCTACTCTCTCTTCTGTCAATCAGGACATCCCACCACCCAACCTGACCCACCCATTGACTTGTGCTTCATACTGATGGCACAAATCAGTATCACACAAGGTTTTGGCACAGGTCCTTATTAGTGAAACAAAGAAAGTTTTGTATAGTAGATGTATCTTTGGGTCAAAGATTTCTTTTGGCTCAGTGTTTAATCTTCAGTGGAGGAACCTAAGAAACCAATGGCTGTATACAGAAGTACAGTATGATCCTGATAACTCAAACCTGACTAGGGGACGATGAATATGGTTCAAGTTGACACATTTTTGCGTTTTCAGAGGTTCAAATGCATTAGGAAGGTGCAAAAGAAGTGCCAAAACAGTTCCAGTTAATGAAATGATCAGGGTTTCGATCTGAAGCGATTTTACTGTCTGTTGTACTCATCTGAATTGAATTCATTCAATGAGGTTGGAATAAGGTCACGAAATGAGGTTGGAATGAGGTCAAAGATACTTTTGCGTTCTGTTTAAGGGACACCTTTTTGGTCTAAGTTTAGTTTCTTTCGGAAGTTGAATGTCTATGGGTTTCTTGGGAAGGCGTTGGCGTCAATTGCAAGGAATAAATTTTTGATAAAAGAAGTTCCTTTGATTTGACAAATAAGATAATAGCAGAAATAAGCCTCTTCAAACAATAAATATTGTTTTATTTATTGACACAATGCCCTTTCTGTTGATTGCTACGTAAACATTAAGAGTGAAATAAAGAACTAACAAGCACATGATTAAATAAATAAAGCTTTATTTGTAATGATGGCGCGGTAATGAAGATTGAATGGGGCAGTTGGATTCCTTTTCTGCAGTAACGTTAAATGTAAATGCAATTAGTTAATTTCCCCCATTTTCAGGCCTGCCCGGATAAGAAGTTTTGTCTTTAACGATCTCTGATCTTTGAGTCAAAAAACTACCAAAGATCCTATATTTTGTTTATATAGCGGTGCTATTGATGAATTCATTGTTTGCAAATTCACTATACACGATACCAGTTCCAATTGTCGCCCTCGTTTCTTTTCTGCCATTGTTGGTATTGTATTTTCCCGCTTACCTGCTCACCCGCCACGTGAAGCTAAACTGGCGTTTCTATATGTAAGCATGCTGTTTCCATTCGACTTTTCTCCAGAATTCTGCCTTCCTCGCGCCAGTTTATGCACAGGTGGGGCGGCTATTCAAAGTTCCGTTCCAGGGTTCCAGGCACCTCTGCAGTGATGCATCAGACATTACTAGAACAGTAGTTGCTCATTTGCCGTTGCCAGAAGCGTTCGTACGAGGAACACTTGATCTTTAGTTATTGAGGAACACTTCGTCATTTCAAATCTATAAACAATTTTCACTGTGTTCAAACAACAGTAGAGTAGAAGTTCTGCAATTGCTCAATGAAATATTTGTTTCGTGTCCCCCTTTGCTGCAGCCACCCCAGCCCCTATGTCTCATACGTCCAGGTCCACATTCCCTGTCTGCCCTTAGTCATAACACCTGGATTGTTGATTGTGCATCGCCCCTTTGATCTAACGGATACCATTTTATCTGAAATAAAAGCAATTTAAAAACCATGTTTTTCCCATGATTTCAAGAACCCTGCCTTGGCCACTTTGCCGTATAACTTTCATCGTCGTGCTTCATAGCTCGTTGTGAGCTTTACCAAAACTCTCTTGATTCTAGAATTGAAAACCCAATTTATTCCGAAGATTGGTTATATGTACCATTTCAATTCATGTGTACTATTTCATCACATTTTATTGAATAGTCTTTCTTACTTCCTTTTGTTAGGTGCTGGGAAATCCACGCTGCTCAATATTCTTGCTGGCTACAAGTAAGTTTTTTTCACATATTGAAACTAGACATGAAACTAAAAAGAAGTAGACATGTCTAATTGCTGATTTAGAGGGGATTTAGAGTGCCTTAACAAAGATTCAATATTGTGGCTTTTCGAATAACATGTAACTAATTGACTACTTGAAGATTGGTTGTTTGAAATTCGTGCTCAGGCATGCCTTTTTAAAGTAATGGATAGTTTTCCTCTCAACACTCTTCTGTGATGCCAATATCATATAATATAAATATTGTAACCAAGTTTGTTGCTGAACTGTAAATTTATCTATAAATACGTCGTTTTAATTTGAATGGTTGAAGAAGTGGGAGGATCAATGGTTGATGTACATAGTCCTTCAATTTTAATGTTTAAATGTTTACCTTTTTGTTTAGTTCTCGATCGGCTGAAGGGAAAATCCTTGTGAATGGAGTTAAAAGAGATGCACGGAACTTTAGGAAGATTTCCTGTTATATAATGCAGGATGACATCTTGATGCCGAATTTGACAGTTTTGGAATCAATGATGGTACGTCCTCTCCAAATATTGACCCACCAAACGCAATATTTAGTTCAGAAAGATATAAGGAAATATAATCCTAAAAGCTGTTTTTGCCTGGTGTTACATAATATTTACCAAGCATGAAGGTCAGTTACTGTAAAACACATTTTAGGTAACTGCCACCAAGTCAGTAACAGGTAACAGACTATTTTAAACCTTATTAAATATCTCTTTGGTTAGGACAGGAGTAAAAAGAGCCAATCCAACTACCCACCGATGTCTGACTATTATTGTTGAGGTCACAGTGTCCTTTTCATTCATTCCAACGAAAGGGTTGACTGTAAGACAGTTTCAATTTGCTGCTCGAAGCATAGCTCCAAAACTTTCGTCAATGTTTTTCTTAGATTTCATCTTTGAATACCTCCAATCATTCTTGCGCCCCTTATATCCCACTGTTAGGGGAGATGTGAGAATTACTTCAGCTACAGAAACCGGAGTGTTTTTGAAATTTAACGAGCTAAAACATGTTGCATGAACATTTCTTGCTTCGACGTAACGTGTTTACATGTCATCAGAATTTACATGTCAGCATTTTGGAAATCTTGTTGTCGCTCTTAAACACTTCAGTTTTTCTTATGCTCGTAAAACGCGTTGTTTCTTGTTAGAATTTACACAGTATGTGTGATTGAGATGATGTTTGGGATTGAAAGTAATATACAAGACGATGTTATAACTTTGAAGATTATGATCAATGTTATCTTGTTATTCTGTTCTCTTTTTAAGTCCTTAAATTAATTAGTTTTCTCCCTAGATTTCAAGGTAAAAGGACTTATCCTTGCTTTTCATGCTTCAATAAATGCAAATATTCATTTGTAAAATTATAAGCAAAGATTAACAATATTCAAGCTAGCTTATCTGCACCTTTGACCATAATCTATAGAATCCTTTGACTTATGTTTGACCGAACTCCGCAGAAAATAACATCTATCCCAATCTATCAAAGCCTCAGATTTCATCAGATTGTTCATCTCATATTTGTTTTTGGACAGAAGTAAAATCATTAAATCAGATTTGCTATTGGGAGGGGCGGTAGGAGATTCTGAAATATCTGGAAAGCAGGGCGAAATATACTACAGCAATTATCCCGACCCATCCAGGCTTTGGTCTCTTCGACCAAGGGTTGCTGCCGCACTCTATAGGCTTTATTTGGCTTAAAAAGAAATTTTTGCTAGTCTTTGCTTAATTCGAGTTATAGAGCCAACATCAATGGACAATGGGTTTATGCATCTTGCAGACCCAGTCCCCCAAAATGCATGCAAAAATTTATTAGTGTAACTTTTTCTCTTTGGTTAAATCGAAAGCGTCTAAATTAAACTACAACTGTTTTGTGTTTTGAAAATTAACAGGTTTCTGCGAGTCTTCACTTGAAAGAATCAAATTCCAAGGAACAGAAAAAACAAGGGGTAAGTCGACGACAGTAGATGTCATTAGAAGTGTTGATATACGAGATATGAGTTGATATAAAGATTAGATATGAATTAAAACATTCGAGTAGTCCAAGGTTCATTATGAATTCGAGTCACTTTAGGAGTGGCTGTGTTTTAATGGGCGGCGAGTAAACAGATCTACAGGCTGCACTTCTTCTTAATTTCTCTTTGGTTTTAGGAATACGTCTAGGCATGTTGTGACAGTAAAATAATCTCAGCCAATGAATTGCATCTGAGTTTCCTTGTTTGAGTTAGGCCTGGTTCTAACGTCGCACTTCTCATGTGCCGAACCTAACGCTGTTTGGAGCGACACTTGAACATGTTTAGCGCGACACCCGTTTCAAACGTCGAACATGTCGCGCCAAGTGGGTTTTAGGATTGTTACATGAAGTATCTTGGTTAAGGCGCACAATCTCAAATATTTGTTTGAAACGCATGCGCCCTCCAAGAAAGAAATGAATTCTGTGTAGGAAAATAAATTAAATATAATTATGCATTGAGTTCGGTACATGACAAGTTCGACGCTTGAAACCGTGCCGTGCTGGAGCCGTGCAGCTCGGCAAGCTCTGCCGATCCAAACTAGTCTGCCGCTCCTAACTAAATCTGCCGTACCAAATTGATTCAAACGTCGCGCCCCTCATGTACTTAATTCTCGAGTTAGGTTCGGCGCATGAGAAGCGCGACGTTTGAACCAGGCCTTAGAGGTCTTGCTGTATTTGGACGATACTAGTTGTTTTCTGATTGGTATGAAATGTATGTTGAGCTTGAAACATTTGCAACCTGTAAACTGCTTTAAAGATGAATGCAATCGCTTAAAAAAAGTTATTTCAACGTTGAGTTTAGGGTATGTTTTTCAGCAACACGAAAATGACGGTTTTAAGTACTCTTTGCTCATTTTTGAGTGACCCAAATAGCTAAACGATATCTGCGCGCCAAATCTGGGCGATTTCTCACCATTTGCCTGTAATTTTTGAGTAGTAGGGAGATTTCATGATGAATTATCTATTTAGCCCCCCTTGTTCTTTTTCCCTTGCACGTATTTATTTCACATTGCTCCTTTTATAATAAAATGTCTTCTCTAATTCTCGGTTTAGATCCTTGACATTCTCAGTGTTCTCGGCCTCGAAGAAACAGCAGATACTTACTTGCATGAAATTTCTGGAGGTCAAAGGAAAAGATTAGCAATCGCTTTGGAGTTGGTCAACAACCCTCCTGTCATCTTCTTGGATGAACCAACCAGGTATGTTCTTCCTGGTATTAACGCCAATCACGTGGAGAGAGGAAAACAGTGTAAACTGGCATTTTTTGAACAAGCTTTTATATTAGATGGCTGCAGATTCACTTTTTGATAGAAACTTTACCCTTTGTAAACTGAAAAATAACCTGAAATGAAATGAAATTTACAAATATAGAGTAGAAAAAATTAAGATGGTGAAACTACCGGGGTTAATGCTCTTTACCATCTCTTGGTCGCGATTGTTCTGATATTTCTAAAAGTCTCCTCGGAAGTCTGTTCCTACTGCTCCTGAAAAAGGAGATTCTAAACAAGCACTGAATTTTTACCTCGTCAAGGGCTTCCAGCAGAAGAATTATTTCCATTTCTAATTAAACTCTACGTATATGTTCTATCAAAAATTCTGAGTTGTTTTCGTTTATTCGACAAAATGAACTTGAAACCGTTTTAGGGTGATTTCTGGAATAGCGGAAGCCTAGGCACACGGTTTAACATTCACTTTCATTACCCATTATATACTTAATTACATTATATATATATTATCCAGATAAACAACATAACGAAAGTGAGACATAAACATAAAAATATAATTAACAACATATTGCTAAATTTACAATTCATAACAGCATGAAACTAAGGTTTAAAATGAAAATAAATCACAAATTTGCTTACTTCGTCAAGAGAAAATTTGCCAAAAATCTCTTGTTCATTTTTATTTATTTGACCTGTGTGATTGATCTTCCATATATTACTCAACAAATACAAGATAGAAATTGTACGGGGCTTTTGACATCTAGGGCCGTTCAGTTTCTGTTTCAAAGTTGTAATAAGATAGTTCTAATTAAGGAATTTTGTTGGTTTTTCCATTTTCGATGTTTTGTAGTGACCCAGCAGTTTTGGCTATATCATTGCAGTGTATTTTATGCGGCTCTGAAAGTGTTTAAAATTAAATTCACTTGTTCTTGGTTTTAAATAAACCACATGCAAAGACCCGGTCCATGGTTGTTCCTGCTTGTATTCCGCCCATGTTTTCATCCCTTATAATCATGTTTCAATGGAAAACAGAATCGGTTGTCAAAACATGCAAAAGTTGTCAAAACAACTACCCTCCATAAAGCCTAGGCTCCAACTGGAATTGTTTGCATTCGACTGCCAGGCAATTGTGAACGAAGTAGTACATTTTTAACGCCAATTTCATGTAACGAACGGCCAAATCGATATATTGGTCTTTGAGTAAAAGCACAAATTCTAAATTAAGTAAATTTTTCAATTTTGATGTTTTATTATTCTATAATGAAAAGTGGTGGAATTCCCTCACAGGCAATGTTGCTGAGTCAACCACGACCTTATCTTTATGCAGACCACTAATTTTTTCTCTCAGCGTTTTGCTTTTCAGACTTGGTTTACATCAGTGGGTTTCCAAGGGGAACTGCAAGCATTTTTCGCACCTATACCCCTTGTCAACACAAAAACGTTGAATCTATGATTAAAGGGGCTTCAAGAGCCAAACCTTTGTAAATGCAATATTTATTGAGCCAACAAGTTTTCGTGCCGATGAAAAGCTTGTTTTTTCATTTGGAGTTAACGCGATCTTGTGAAAATACATCCGTGTAGGCATGGCTTTCAAGGGGATACCACGATTAAGTCACTTATTAATTTGCTCATAATCAAATTTGCCCTCCTCGGGAGTGGCTGAAGTTGAGGGTACGATGTTGATAAGCAAAAGATTATACAGCCTCATTGAGGCTTCTTGGCTTCCTGTTTTCAAACTGAAATAGGTTGTTGTCAGTTTGTTGGTTAACGCATTGATGAGATACGTGCCACCTCTGATGCGAAAGCTCCTAAGATTTAGGCCCACCGCCGACCAGTCGGACTGTAAAGCCATTCTAGTCCTTTAAGTATTTGACCATGTTTTCAACTCTTGACTGAGTCGGTCGTTTAGACTGCCATAAATGCCCTTATTTTTTCATTAATGTGATGAACAAAGACCCTTAAAAACGATATCCATTCGAAATTTTATATCATAACCCAAAAACCCATTCACAGCCGAGCAGATTCGTAATCTAATCAACTATACTACCGAAAATTGTCTCTAACCAAATGACTGAATGATTTGTTCTCGCATTTTAGCGGCCTCGACAGTTTGTCCGCGTACCAATGCATCAGTTTGATGAAAACCTTGGCAAAAGGTGGCAGAACAGTCATCTGTACTATTCACCAACCCAGTGCAAAGCTCTTTGAAATGTTTGATAAGGTATTATATCTTGGCATTTATGCCTGTTTGCTACCTTAATTTCGCACATATCATAAGTGTTAGTTGAAAGGCGCTTTGTATTCATGAAAATCACACTAAGTTATAATGAAGCATTGAAGTAGCAAAGTAAAGTCATTTTCTTAAATCACAACTTGCCTCTTTAAGCAAAGTCTTTAGATTTTGCCGCTAGATTTCCTTCAAAATTGAATGAATTATTAAAGAAAAAACGTAAAGCTTCTTGGCTGATACACTTTCGTTCCTCTCCACGAAAAAGCCATGTTGCTAGTTTCGAAGATCAACGACAGATCTTATTGGTAATTTCTAAATGGCATTCATCTCTTATCTTTTATATCCTGGAATAGCCAGTAGTTTTTTTGAAGCTACTTATAGCTTATCTTGGGTTAACGATAAGTCAAGCTGGTACCTGAATGACCTATTCTGTTTTTTAGCTTTATATCTTGACAAGCGGTCAATGTATCTACAGTGGATCATTAAACGATCTTTTGCCATATATGGAATCTCAAGGCTTGCGCTGCCCAAAGTACCACAATCCTGCAGATTTTGGTATGATACCAGTGGCTTGTTTTTTTTAAAGTTCGACTCTGTCCATCACGGATCGCAAACTTCCAGTGTTGAAATGCCCATCCTATTTTCCGTTCTCTCTACCACTGCAGCCTATAATCTTCTAGGATTCATACATTTCATTCATAACCGCTTTAAATATTCTTAAAACAGTTAAATGTTTATATGAATTGATGTATAATTTTCATTTTAATCTATAATGCCCTGTAGATGTTAACTATAATACGCATTTTAAGTAGAATCTCCACTGACTCCCAGCTACAATCAGATTTTTCAATATCTAAACATAAGTCAGATTTGTCACCTAATATTCTATTCGCTGTAAAGATATCGCTCAAAACCATTAGCCGACTGGTAAAAGCTAGACCCTCGTATAACTGACTCTATTTATGCAGTAAACTTCATAAAGCAACTTGCAGACCGAATTATGGAAGTTTTGAGTCACCACTGAGTCAGTTTGAATAAAAACATTGAGTCAGTTTGAATAAGAAAGTAATCCTTAGGTAATTTGAATGGATGTGATTTCACATTAATAAAACCGAAAACAAATTTTGTTAACAATAATGTTATAAAAGTGTTTTATGTTAACAATACTTCACCCTTGTCCGATCGTAAACAGGATGAACGACTACCATCCTCCATCTATTTGCCCCCTCTTATTTTTCTTGAAAATTCATTTTTTGTTTATTATGTTAACTAGTCATTGAGGTAGCTTCAGGAGAGTATGGTGATGTCACAAACCATTTGGTAAAATCTTGGAAAATTCAGGAGAAGAAGAACGAGCTTGCCGAGATGGAAAAGCAAATACACTCACAGGATGCGGAGTCAAAGTACGACAAAAGCTTCGCACTGCCTGCCGTTGTGACGTACATGCCAGGAAAATGTACGAGCGTTACGTCAAGCTCAGAAAGTTTATTGGATGTGGTCAGTCAAACAACACAGGTTGGTCATGGTTGTATAATTCTGATTTCATAGCCTACTAAAAAATTCAAAGTGGCTTGAAAGGAAGTTATGGTCGAAAAGTCTTGCTGATCTGAGCTTTCGGTAGAAATCAAACGCTTAGCCGGTGGTTGTGTTATCACTTCAAAATTATTTGTGTTTTGAGGCTTTGTTTTTAGGTTAGACTTTTGAATATTGTTGATAAGTTAAATAATTCAATGTACGAGTCAAGTTGATGTAAGCCAAGTTAGTTTATTTTAGAACATTGTTTATCTCTTAACTTTTTCCTCCTGTATTTAGCCTTCGAAATTTATAGTAACAGATACCGGTAAATATTACCCCAAAAATGTTCTCCGGAGGTAATACATGTCGGCAAAGAAATATCTTAGTTATGCTTGGGTGTCGAACAGTACCGAAAGTTGGTTTTGAGATCTGCAGTACCAAATATCGGTTTTGAGATCTGCAGTACCGAATATCGGTTTTGAGATCTGCAGTACCGAATGTTGGTTTTGAGATCTGCAATACCGAAAGTCGGTTTTGAGATCTGCAGTACCGAATGTCGGTTTTGAGATCTGCAATACCGAATGTCGGTTTTGAGATCTGCAATACCGAATGTCGGTTTTGAGATCTGCAGTACCGAATGTCGGTTTTGAGATCTGCATTACCGAATGTAGGTTTTGAGAACTGCAGCACCGAATGTCGGTTTTGAGATCTGCAATACCGAATGTCGACCAGAATTCCAAGGACTGTGTACCCCTTAACACTGGCCCTACGGTTTGAACACGTTTCTATACACGTTTGAATACCTTTTCTATACAAATTCGTGTTTTTGAACCATCCATTCTTTCTTTTATTTGGCAGTTCTCGGTGCTGATCAAGCGTTCCATGGTTTCAATTTTCCGCGATCGCATGTTTACTCATCTCCGTCTCATCTCTACAATCGCTGTCGCTTTTCTCATCGGACTTTTGTATTACAAAATTGGGAACAATGGGGACAAAGTCATCAACAACACAGGATGCTTGTTCTTTTCAATGCTGTTTCTAATGTTCATTGCATTGATGCCAACTGTGCTTACATGTAAGTCGTGCATTTCAAGGTCAAGTCTGTTTCGTAAATAGATGTCGTTTATGCTAAGTTAGAGTCTCAGTTAAAACCTTGTGGTTCCAAAGATGAAGGACCTTTTCTTTTTTGATTTAATCAATAATTAGGCCAAAGTGGCCCATCTATCACAACCTGATAGCCTTGTGTGAAAACAACATATTGAAACAGATTAAGGTTGTTATAGTAAGAAACAAAAGTGTAGCCCATGATCTGTCTCATGCTTGCCATACTTGACTTATACCGTATAAGCAAGTCACTTTTGATAACGAAAACTGTTAAAAAACTAACTCACTGTGCAATCCCACTTTGCACAGCCTATGATTAACCCATACCACTCATGTATAAATTTTTATGTGTGCAATTTTATCACACATTTCTATGTTTGCTGTTGAGGTATTGAACAAACTACCACAACCAAGGCTATTTTCATCCTAGCAAAAACGCAGCCAGACATACTAAGATTTCATTCCCTTGTATTTATGTTTTAGTTCCTTTGGAAAAACTTGTGTTCATCAGAGAGCATTTGAATAATTGGTACAGTCTGAAATCATACTATTTGGCAAAGACGATGGCTGACTTACCCTTTCAGGTAAATTTAGATATTACTCAAAGGAATTTGTGCTCAAGTCACATTTCTGCAATTTTTCTGTCGTCTTTTATTACTGTTTCATGTAGGAAAGAAAATTACTTTGCAATGAATAATCCTTGCCGTGTTCCTGGCTCTGTTCTTGCCATTGGAAAACAACTGCTCTTCTTTAATTTGTTGTGTAACGCACAATTCCAAGGAGTAAATGCACGCTAACAAAAATTTAAGAATTTGCCAAAGGCTATATTCATCTTTTTCTGTCTATGATTTGGCACTATCATAAACTACTTGTAATTTTACTTCTTTTTATTTTACAAATACCATTACATTTTCCTTGTATTATTAATACACCAATCTTTTTTCACCCATAGATAATACTTCCTGCCCTGTATTGTACAATTATCTACTTCATGACAAATCAGCCCAAAGAGCCAGAGAGATTCGTCCAGTTTTTAGTCATAACGATTCTCACATGCCTTGTCTCCCAGTCAATCGGCCTCCTTCTTGGGGCAGTCGCACCAAGTGTTCCCGTACGTATACATTCAATTTTTTCAATTCCCTCAAACAGACTTTATTCTCTGATTTTTCTTGTTTGCAGTCTAATTTAAAACTTCAGTTATTTAACTTCAGATCAATGCAAATGTATCTCCAAAACCTTTTCTCCCTTCCTTTATGGAAACATTCTCAAAATGTTTCAGTTTTTCTTTTTGTTTATCTATTTCTCCTCTCTTCAATCATGCATGCCATTTTCTCATCTCTAAGTTTTTTTCTCTTATGTTTTTCTTTCGCAATTCCTCAATACTGTTGATAGACTATCTTTTAAAAGATTCCTCTGCATTTACTTATTATAAACTGTTTACACGCGTTTTTCTACCTCATTTGATTTTCTAGAAATATTTCACAAGGTGTCAATTTTTCGTAGACTGCAGTATTCGTTGCTCCAGTTACAGGGATACCAGTGCTGTTATTTAGTGGCTTTTTCGTGAACTTTGACACCATCCCCACGTACATGCAGTGGCTCACCTATATTTCATTTGCAAGGTACAGCTGGGAAGGAACGATTGTAGCCATATATGGCAATAATCGGGGCTCTCTCGATTGTGACAAACCGAGATGCATCTTCAAAAGCAGTCAAGAGGTATTAGAGGCAATGGACGTCAGTGAGGATGCATTGTTTCTTGACAATGCCAAATTCCATTTTGACTGCATTGTTTTGGGCTTCTTTTTTATAAGCCTAAGGTTGATAACGTACCTTGTCTTAAGGTATAAAGTAAAATCAACGACTAGTTAAATCGATAGGTGTGAAATCGAGGGTTGTAGATCGATTTTCGTTGAGATTCGTTTGGTCTGGGATGAAAGCTAGTAGTTTGGATCAAATGGAATGGCATGCCAGTGAGAGTTAATACATTTCCTTGCAACAAAGCGTTGCCAAGATCGAAGCATGTAAAGTGCGATCCAGTTTAAACAGGGTCTAAAGCTTTGACTCTTGCTGCCAAATCACGTTTATAACACGGTGCCGATCCCTTATAATTTTGAACATCAGTAGGTGAACTTCGAAGTGTTTTGGTCGCCTTTTAGATCACAAATTTCATCCACTTGAAAGGCTCAGAGAAATATTTTTGCGCAGGTCGTATTATTATGCAAGATTTACTAACACAGGAGCACGTAAACACACTTGATTTAAAATGAGATTTAAGAGCTAGAATAAATTTATTTATACCCTACAGTCATTTGGTTATGGATGATTCCGCCTTGAGCTACAGTCACATGATAAGGCCTATCAATCAATCCGAAATCCTCGGTTTGCATCTTGTGTTTTAAAATGCCATATTCTGAGAGTGCTGCACCAATCAACCTAATATAATACTCGTATTCACACTTTAAATACATTAAGTATAATAGAAGACTTGTTTTATTTTTCAAGACTGCATATTGAAACTTTTCTTTTATTTACATTAAAGAGGAAAATCTCATACATCTCTTTTGTATTTTTGCTAAAATTTTGCAAATTATGTTACTACCGTCAGGTACAACATACAGTTTTTCGTATTGAATATACAAGATACAATTTTGAAGTGATCTTCTGTTTTGAGAAAACATAAATTATTGTTTTTGAATACCTTCGAGGTTTTGCCTCCATATTAACGAATGCACATTTTGAAGACGACAATTTTGCTACTGCCAAGTTTAATATGACCTCTCTAAGTTTAGTGTGAAAACTAAATTTGCAAAATTTTGTGAAACATTTGGAAAGTTTCTGCCTGACGAATGTTTATGGATACCACTGTTTTATGAAAGTATAATGCAAGCTTACTTTTGCCAAGTGTCAATTGACCTTTCATGTGACTCTTGACAACAAAATTTTGTGTCTTGACACTGGACTAATCCTCTTTGCTGTGTGGCAGGGTGGTTTTTACATGTTTTCATTTCCAATTTATAAAATGTTTGTCCACACCAACATTTCAGTCTTGATTTCGCATTGTAAAATTACGAATGTAATATCCTCAAGTTGAGTTTCTGTAGACCTCAACTTTAAAAACAGAGGGTTGTTTAATTTTTCACTGTTGTTTAAATGTATAATGAGCAATATGATTGTATTGAGTTTTTAAATTTTACCAAATAGATTAGAAATCGTGCAAAGCGAAGTGGTCGTTTTTTGTGAGCCTTTTCACCTGGTGTTAAAAAACGCAATTTATCGCATCACTAAATTTTGTTTTTATCCGATTAAAAGTTACAAGGACATACGGAGGTTACAAAACTATGCCGCAAGGAGCATGAAAATACGTCTGTAAATTGAGAGTGGTTAAAAATTTGAAGTTATGGAGAAAACCAAAGAGAGTGAGGCAGTGTATCACGCCAACTATGACCAGTGTTGTAGTCGAAGTTGATCACGAGAAGTGGAAGGGGAATAGAAGGAGGTCCAGGTCCTCGTGGAGGGGGGGGGAACTAAGCATGATTTTGGGCGGAGACGTGCCCTTTTGGTTAAAAAAATTGGACCTATAATTCCGTACATATCTGAAAAAATGTAACCCATAATTCCGAGACTATACCCATATTTCCGCAAAGAAAATAAAATTTTTAAAGCACAACAAAATCATCAAA